TCTTTTCAGTTCCCTAACACCAGTCACAACATGGTGCAGGAAAATAACCGTACCCATACTGTCATTTAATCGGGCATTTTTGGAGATCCTAACAAGGGTCTCCCCAATGCTGAACAACGAGGCTAAGTGGGCAGCTGCTTCCTGAGCAGGAGGAGCAACGACACGTGTACCAGTATGGGTGGGATTAAAAGTAACAAAGGTATCCACCAAATCTACGAGGTGTTTAAGGAGGGAGAAGTCGTCAGGACGTGTTGAATTCATATGGTTGGGATCAAAGTACTTCTTAGTCCATGTAGCAGGATTAGACAAGGATTGGAACGAAATAGAACTGGGAGAAATTGTGTGGGTGCGTCTGCGGAGGGAAAGGCGCCGAGCACCCCCAGTAAGATTGGGGGGTAAAAGGTGCAGTTGTTACAATGAGAGAAGGAGTCACTCCAGGTAATGAGGTGGTCATCACTAGGGGCTTGGGGCTCAACCCCGCCACAGCAGTGGGAGGGGAGCAGAGGGGCATAGTCGGGAGGGTCAATGAAGCAGCTTGGTCTGGGCCCAATGTAGCGGGGGCTACAGAGCCCAGTCTTCCATCACAGTCCGACTCGGGGACCTGGTTGCCCACCCCACGAACCTGGGGTAAGAGAGGTCAGTTCAGTTTCCATATAGAATCATTTCTAAACGTCTGGGTTTTGGAGCTAAGGGATACCTATTACCAAGGCAGCCAGGGAGGACGAGCGCTGGCTAGTACAGGAAGGGGTGGTTGTCCCCAGCGGTGCTCCCCCTTTTTAACAGGGAGAAATCCAATTGCCTTGTACATTCTCCCACACTGCTGCAAAGACCCAATTCTCCCTTTTGCCGCAGTCTGGATACCGAACCATTCACTCGAGGGCGGTCCCTCCAGCAGGAGGTCCATTGACTCACGAGATCCTTACATTTGTGTCCTTTCGCACGTACAACGCCCAAATAGGGCCAGGGAAAGAGGCCAAGGCAACCCTAACCCCCAGGCAGTCGTACCTGGTTGATACCTGGTTGATGGGGTTCTGGGAGTTCTTCTACTCCCCAAGCCCGGCCCGAGGCCAGGCTTGACTTGTGAGAGATTGGTCCACCAGGCTGTTGCTTGGAGCGGCCCGCAGGCCCACATACCCACCACAGCCCGGTTGGTCCGGCACTCCTTGGAGGAATAAATCTAGTTTCCTCTTGAAAATGTCCACGGTTGTTCCGGCAATATTTCTTATGCTTGCTGGGAGGACGTTGAACAACCGCGGACCTCTGATGTTTATACAGTGTTCTCTGATTGTGCCTATGGCACCTCTGTTCTTCACTGGTTCTATTCTACATTTTCTTCCATATCGTTCACTCCAGTACGTTGTTATTTTACTGTGTAGATTTGGTACTTGGCCCTCTAGTATCTTCCAGGTGTATATTATTTGATATCTCTCTCGTCTTCTTTCTAGTGAGTACATTTGGAGGGCTTTGAGACGATCCCAATAATTTAGGTGCTTTATTGCGTCTATGCGTGCCGTATATGTTCTCTGTATTCCCTCTATTTCAGCAATCTCTCCTGCTCTGAAGGGGGAAGTGAGTACTGAGCAGTACTCAAGACGGGACAACACAAGTGACTTGAAGAGTACAACCATTGTGATGGGATCCCTGGATTTGAAAGTTCTCGTAATCCATCCTATCATTTTTCTGGCTGTCGCAATATTTGCTTGGTTATGCTCCTTAAACGTTAGGTCGTCAGACATTATTATTCCCAAATCCTTTACATGCTGTTTTCCTACTATGGGTACATTTGATTGTGTTTTGTACTCTGTATTATGTTTAAGGTCCTCATTTTTACCGTACCTGAGTACCTGGAATTTATCACTGTTAAACATCATGTTATTTTCTGATGCCCAGTCGAAAACTTTATTAATATCAGCTTGAAGTTTTTCAATGTCCTCAGCCGAGGTAATTTTCATACTGATTTTTGTGTCATCTGCAAAGGATGATACGAAGCTGTGACTTGTATTTTTGTCTATATCTGATATGAGAATAAGGAAAAGCAGCGGTGCAAGGACTGTACCCTGAGGTACAGAGCTTTTCACTGCACTTGGATTTTATATGGTTGACCGTTACTCGCTGAGTCCTGTTTGACAGAAAACTGAGTATCCAGCGTCCTACTTTACCGGTTATTCCCATTGACTTCATTTTGTGCTATCACGCCATGGTCACATTTATCGAAAGCCTTTGCGAAGTCCGTGTATATCACATCAGCATTCTGTTTTTCTTCTAATGCCTCAGTGACTTTGTCGTAGTGCTCAAGTAGCTGTGAGCGGCACGATCTTCCCGCTCGAAATCCATGTTGGCCTGGGTTGTGAAGGTCATTGGTCTCCATGAAATTGGTGACCCGACTCCTGATCACTCTCTCAAATACTTTTATGATGTGCGATGTTAGTGCAACTGGTCTATAATTTTTTGCCAATGCTTTGCTCCCTCCCTTGTGTAGAGGAGCTATGTCTGCTACTTTAAGTGCATCTGGTATCTCCCCCGTGTCCAAGCTCTTCCTCCACACTATACTGAGTGCCTGTGCTACCGGCACTTTGCATTTCTTTATAAATATTGAATTCCATGAGTCTGGACCTGGGGCCGAGTGCATGGGCATGTTTTCAATTTCTTTTTCAAAATTTAGTGCGCTCATGTTTATATCAGTTATATTTACCGGGGTTTGAATATCCCGCATAAAGAAATTGTCTGGATCTTCCACCTTCATGTTGTTTATTGGAGTGCTAAACATGTCCTCATACTGCTTTTTTAGGATTTCACTAATTTCTTTGTCATCCTCCGTGTATGAACCTTCACTTGTACTAATAGGTCCAATACTGGCAGTGGTTTTTGCTTTTGATTTTGCATATGAGAAGAAATATTTTGGATTTTTCTTTATTTCCTGAATTGCTTTCTGTTCTAACTGCCTTTCTTCAGTTTCATATGAGTGTTTCAATTTCCGCTCGATTTCTTCAATCTCCCTATTTAAATTATTCCTTCTTTGACGGGAAATTCGTGTCTGCATAAGCAGTTCCGTTATTTTTTCCTGCGTTTATAGTGTCATCTGCGTTCTCTTTCTACGTTAAATCTCTTTCTGGCTTTCCTCAAAGGAACATGTTTCATACAGACTTGATACGCTTCTGAAGTCAGTTTTTCTATTCCTTCTGTAGGACTTTTATTACTTAGAACAGTTCCCCATGGAATGTTTGTAAGTTCCCTGTTTATTATCTCCCAGTCTATCCTTTTATTATTAAAATTGAATTTACTGAATAGCCCCTCTCGCTTTATCAATGTTTTAGGTCTATTCTGAGTATTGATGGTCGTTTGCACTTCAATGAGTTTGTGATCTGAGTATGTGGTATCTGATATCGTAATGTCTCTGATAATGTCTTCATTGTTCGTAAAGACCAGATCTAGAATATTTTCATTTCTCGTTGGCTCCGATATCTGCTGATTGAGTGAAAATTTGTCACAGAATCTAAGTAGTTCTCTAATCTGTGGTTGGTTAGGTCCTGATAGATTTCCTGGTATAATATTATTGTTTGCTATTTTCCACCTGAGACTAGGCAAGTTGAAGTCACCTAGGAAGATAATATCAGGTATCGGGTTCTCCAAATTATCAAGGCTATTCTCTATTTCATTAGAAATATTATTTTATATATTTTTAAATATTATTATTCATTATTTATTCTCTATTCGTACATGAGCCCCCCTCACCACGATAAGGAGACACTTCAGAGGGGGAGACAATTCATAAACATAACTCAAAATAATGAAAGGAAAGATGTGTTTTCTGATTGTCCCCCGCCCCTCCCACCTGTTCTTCGCCCCCCGGTCCATGCCCACCGTCCTTACCCCATCCCACCCCCTTCTCCCGTCTTTCTGTACCAACACCTGTGACATTAGTGTACAGAAACTGTACGGAAACATACCATGTACAGAAACTGGCGAGGACCCAGGAGGATCGTATAGTTGCTTTCACCTCGGTTTTGTGGCATGGTTGATGGTGGTGGTGGTTGGGGGGGGAAAAGGGTGGTTGGGGGGTGTCATCTCTTGTGTCTCTTCTCACTCCTTGTCTGCGTCCCAACGCTACATATTGATACGTTTTGACCAAATACTTGCTATAAGTACTGTCATTTTAGGAGGACGGGCTGGTGTATCTCTGTCACTGTCTTTATAATAGTCTCCGTGGTGTAGTGGTAAGACACTCGCCTGGCGTTCCGCGAGCGCTATGTCATGGGTTCGTATCCTGGCCGGGGAGGATTTACTGGGCGCAATTCCTTAACTGTAGCCTCTGTTCAACGCAACAGTAAAATGTGTACTTGGATGAAAAAACGATTCTTCGCGGCGGGGATCGTATTCCAGGGACCTGCCCGAAACGCTACGCGTACTAGTGGCTATACAAGAATGTAACAACTCTTGTATATATCTCAAAAAAAAAAAAAAAAAAATCTCTCTCTCTCTCTCTCTCTCAGTCTATAATATCTGTCTCTCTCTCTCTCTCTCTCAGTCTATAATATCTGTCTCTCTCTCTCTCTCAGTCTATAATATCTGTCTCTCTCTCTCTCTCTCAGTCTATAATATCTGTCTCTCTCTCTCTCTCTCTCAGTCTATAATATCTGTCTCTCTCTCTCTCTTTCTCTCTCTCTCTCTCTCTCTGTCACTGTCTTCGTAATATCTGTCTCTATCACTGTATCTATCAGGGACGAGCCTTGTTGCCTACCTTTCAACCTTTTCTATTTTGTCCAATGTTTTTTTTCGTGTGGTATTGTTTGTAGGTATATTCCTACACACACACACACACACACACACACACACATACATACATACATACATACATACATACATACATACATATATATATATATATATATATATATATATATATATATATATATATATATATATATATATATATATATATGTTTGTTCGACTACCAGTATGGTGCTAACCCTCCTCTCTCTCTCTCGTTTTGCCACAACAGAAAGCAACTAGCCAGCTCCACGTCGTCGGCACTTGGCTGCCCCAGCTCTTCGTCCATCTCGTCCTCGTCAGTGCCGCTAGCAGGATGGGTCGTCGCAGGATTCAGCGATGTAATACAACCGAACTCAAGTCCCTCTTGTTGGATGCCAATGGTGGCAGATGGTACAGACCCACCAACTCCTGCGATGAGGTCTTCCCCGGCATCCTCTTGGGCGACGCGTAAGTGTGTGAAAGAGAGAGACGTGTGCACATATATATACTCCACCCCTCCAAAAGACTCGAACCTAGAAGGCCCAGGTGTTCGCGCACCCAAACACAACCAGTACTCCACCACGCAGATCCTTTAAAGAGATCGAAACTCGAGAGTTCTTACCCAATACACACACACATAACAATCACTGTTCGAAGACCTCATCCAGCTCTTCGGAGGTGGGGTGCGTGCCCAAGATACAGCAAGCATTTCCTCTCTGGATCGCTACACTGAGGCGCTGGAACAGGAAACTGGGCACTCTTTTGAGTCTCTAGTTTGCCTAATGAGTTCCTCACACACTCCTTTAGGAACTTAGATGCACCTTTACCCCAGGGGCCCAGGGTTTCAGAGCATATTGGCACAAACTTGTAACAACATATTTAAGTATTCCTAAGCCTAGTTTAGCATATATATGTACTATAATAGGCCTAAGATAGCGTTTATCAGACCTAGGATTGCTTGGAGCGGTTAGGTCTAATATTTATGTAGTGGTTAAAATAAAAGTTTAGGGTTTATTCACATTTCGTAACATAGAAACCAACTTTCTGGTGGTCCATCACTACATACTGATACTTCCCACCACATACTGATACTTCCCACCACATACTGATACTTCCCCACCACATACTGGTACTTTCCACCACATTCTTACTACAAGTACTTTCATTTTAGGAGGATGGGCCGGTGTTTTACACTAGCCCACCCTCCCCCTCAGCCAACTACACTGATATCTCCTCTCTCCCCCTTGCCGTGTGACAGCGACACGGCGCTATCGACGCAGGAGGTGAAGGAGCTGGGTGTGACCCACGTGCTCAACGCGGCCCAGGGCCACAACAATACCGCCTACGACGGCTACGTCAGCACCTCGCCCACATACTACTCCAAGCTCAAGGGCATCAAGTACTACGGTGTGCCGGCTCTCGACATGCCCGGCTTCTACATCAAGCCTTACCTCCGCGACGCTGCCGAATTCATCAACAGTGCTCTCAAGGAAGGAGGTAAGTATGAGGAGATGTGTATGTGTGTGAGGACACGTGGAGATGTGTGTGAGGACACGTGGAGATGTGTATGAGGGGAGAACAGAGATGAGAGGTGTGAGCTACAAGACAAAATTTCAGACCTCAGTTCACTCCGATTATAATAAGAGGCAAACTGTGCTAGAATACTGGAGGAACCGATACGAGATACCCTGTGAGTGACTGAAACCACTCTTGATGTGTTGTGAGTGTGAATGGACGCACTCTGGGTCTGCTGTGTGACTGGAAGCACTCCTGGTCTATTGTGAGTGTGACTGGAAGCACTCTGGGTTTGCTGTGACTGAAACTGAAGAACTCCTGGTCTGCTGTGTGACTGGAAGCACTCTTGGTCTGCTGTGAGTGTGACTGGAAGCACTCTGGGTTTGTTGTGACTGTAACTGAAGCACTCTTGATGTGTTGTGAGTATGACTGGAAGCAGTGTTGATACCTCACTGTTCTGCAGGGCGGGTGTTGGTTCACTGTCAGTGCGGCATCTCGCGCTCAGCGGTGCTGGTGGCCGCCTTCCTTATGCTCAAGCGAGGCATGAACGTCCAGACGGCCCTGGCTAATATCAAGTAAGTCACTCACACAACATTGTTTTGTACTCTTTATGCAAGACTGGGGTTTGTCAGGGTACTGGCCTAGTTGTACTTGCGGGGGATGAACTACGGTTCTTGGGTCCCGCCTCTCAACCTTCAATTGACTGGGTAATATGCTTCCGATGTCTACTGGGCTTGGTCATATCCACATGTAAAGCTGTGTGTGGAGTTTACCTCTCCCACTTCCCTTCTCAACGCATTCTATTTGTTCTATTCATTCTGTTCTGACATTGGAGAAATCTTTCTTGTGTTTCTGTTGCAAAACTGGATACTTTGTTTCCATCTGTATTGCCTTGTTCGATTACTATCTGTGCTAATAGTATCTTCTTGTCCCTGTGTGTGGTGATCATGTCTATGCTTTTTCTCCCAGTGACATGAGGTTTAACTCTTTTAGTCTTTCCTTGTAGTTCATACCTCTCACTTCTGGGACTAGTTGGGTGGCATACCTCTAAACTTTCTCCAGCTTCGTTTTGTGTTTAACGATAACAGGACTCCTCACTGTTGCCGCATATTCCAGTACTGGTCTGATATGGATAGTTTACAAGATACTGAATGACTTTCTGTTCAGATTCTTAAAGACGGTTCTTTTATTAGCCAACATTCCGTATGCAGCTAAACATATTAGTTCCATATAGGTTTCTGGTGACAGGTTTGGTGTAATATCTACCTCCAAGTCTTTTTCTATCCGATTCCAGGAGAATCTCCTCTCCTATATTATACTTTGTATCCAGTCTCCCGTTCCCAGCACTCTCCTACATCACTTTGCATTTGCAAGAGTTAAACTCAATAAGTCACTTGAGGGACCATTCTTTCATTTTGTCCAGATCGCGTTGCAGTTTCTTGCAGTTTTACGTCGTATTTATCTTCTGATTCCCTCTGTAGACCGATCACATAAATTAGGATTGGCATAAGAAGAATATTAGATTGTTGAATATAAGATTGATGTAAGATTGGCCCCAGTACAGACATCCCAATTTCCAGTAGATAATTACATGCCTTTACACAGTGATCGTTCACTCCAGGGGACGGCGTAAATTAGTAATTGTAGGAATTTGTTATATATTTACAGCCAGTAATTGACTGTCATCGTGCATAACATTAATGCTTCTCTTCAATGTTTAAACAGGAAGAAGAGAAACATCTTCCCCAACCAAGGGTTCCTGAGTCAGCTGTGTGATCTTGACTATGAGCTCCGCCGCAGCGGAGAGCTTCCCGACACCCATGAGATAACCCTCCCTCCGCTGGTCTTTGACACGGAGGAAGAGTCGACACCGAGCCTCCGTAACCCGGCCGCCTACCCCAGGTTCACCCTCGTGCCCACCAGGGTGTTCGACACCTATACTGACACCAAGAACTATGTCGTGCCCCGAAGAGCATCTTCTTTAGACAGATATGTGCCGCCTCGCAAGAACTTCCAGGATAACCCCTTGGTGGACTTGTCGGTTCGTAGTTCCAGGAGTCCAGTGAGGTCGTTGTCACCTGTTCGAGGTGTATCGCCTGTTCGGTCTCTCTCGCCCGCCCGTAGAGGAAGCTTCTCCTACCTGACTTACAGCAATGCCGATGATGAACTGCCTGAAAATTCGAAAGTGTTTGACACTTACAAACGCTACGAGAGGTCTGCCACGACTCCCCTTCCCAGCACCACGACCACAACCAGCTATGTCAGCAAACCCTACGACCCGTATGTGTCTCCAAGCACTATCAAGTACGACTCGCTCAGATACCCCAAGGTCTACTTCTACGACAGGTACTACTCCCTCCCCACCTACCAGTACATCAACAACCTCAACCGATACTACGACACCTACAAATACAACAGATCGGTGAGCCCATTCACGGGTGCTAACGTCGCTCCTGCCTCCGTGTACAGAACCTACAAGCTGTACCCTGAGAAGGCCTACCTGATAGGGAGCTCCTATGTACCGCCATACCCTTACACCGAGAAGTACTTCTCCCCCTTCGTCAGGTACCCAACCACGTACCGAACCCTCTACCCCAGCTACACCTCTCCTATCCGAGTCCTGTCCTAAGCTCTACGCCAAATATAATCTTCGTTACTCAAGTGATCTCTTCCTGGCAGATATATACAATGTGCCTTAACATGCAACTTTACTCTAAAACACACTCGTCTTGCATACAACAATCCACAAACATTATCCCGGGAACATTTACTTCTGATTTCTAATTTTTGCTTCTTCATTGTTAGGATTATCGAAACACAAAACTACACTATCATTAGCTTCACAGTTGGTGTTATTTTAGAATCAGCTACTTGGAACAAAAAGTTCTTAAGTAGGAAGGGCTATGGTGAGCCCGTAGTGGACTTACCTGGCACAGGAGTGGGGCTGCAACTCGATGTAGCTTCACAATTATACACCACGTTATTATGCATCACACTACCATACAGTATCGTATACACACTATCATACACTACATCCCGGCGCAACACACACCACCACGCCACTACAACACTCGTCTTGTCCACTAATCCGCTAAAAGCCGCCTTATTCTCCCAGACCTCACAAGGAGACGTAATCTCAGTAATATTCTCACCATGCTCCAACTTACTGTGTACATAATGTATATAGTTATTCTCTCGTGTTCTACTCATATCTAGGGTGAAGCTCGGTGTCCAGGCGTACCTTAACCCTCAGCACACCTTGCTCGTGTGGACTAATGCAGCTTTTTTTCGACTGTCTCTCATCTTCTCACTCTCTACACTACCACAAGCTCTCACACCCGTGTTGACGTCTCTATTTACTAACTATTTTATTCGGAGTTGTTACGAATCGATGTTCCCCGAGGGAGTAGTTTATAGGGGGGTGGTAGGTGTGGAGTATTTTTAGTATGGTACTGCTGGAATGTCCTCCTCGTCTCCTTCGTGGGACGAGGAGGGCGTCTGAGCCGTCGTCTCGGGATCCTGGGCTGGAGTTCCGCCAGCGCTCCCGCCATAATTTCTTATTCCTTCTTGCATCCTGGAAGCTCTCTCTAACCATTCGTTCTTCCTTCTTGCATCCTGGAAGCTCTCTCTAACCATTCGTTCTTCCTTCTTGCATCCTGGAAGCTCTCTCTAACCATTCGTTCTTCCTTCTTGCATCCTGGAAGCTCTCTCTAACATAGCGTTCTTCCTTCTTGCATTCTGGAAGCTCTCTAACCATTCGTTCTTCCTTCTTGCATCCTGGAAGCTCTCTCTAACATAGCGTTCTTCCTTCTTGCATCCTGGAAGCTCTCTCTAACCATTCGTTCTTCCTTCTTGCATCCTGGAAGCTCTCTAACCATTCGTTCTTCCTTCTTGCATCCTGGAAGCTCTCTCTAACCATTCGTTCTTCCTTCTTGCATCCTGGAAGCTCTCTAACCATTCGTTCTTCCTTCTTGCATCCTGGAAGCTCTCTCTAACATAGTGTTTTTCCTTCTTGCATCCTGGACGCTCTAACCATTCGTTCTTCCTTCTTGCATCCTGGAAGCGCGCTTCGGCGACATGTTCTTCCTTCTGGGGTTCTGAAAGTTCGCTCTAGCACCACGTTCTTCCATCTGTCGTCGTTGAAGCTGCTTCCAGCCCCTATCTTCAGCCATACGTTCTTCCTTTTGGCATCATGGCAGCATTAAAACTAACACAGTTGCTCAGCTGGCCATTAATGGTCAGCGCTATAGGCTTATGTTGTCTTTTATTTCATATTATAATTATTGTTTTAGGACGAGATGAAATTTTGCTTTTAAGGGGAATGTGGAAATTTGGTTCGTGAAGTTGTGCACCTCTGTTCCCCTCTCCCTTTCCCTCTCCTTCCCCGCTACCCTCTCCCTCCCCTCTTCCTTCTCTCAGCTTAGTGATGGAGGATTACACTGGTGGCAACGGTGTCAGAGGTTTAGTTGCTTCGGGTAAGACACTGCCCATTGTTATGCTTTAATCAATTGACCAAAAAGAAATTTTAAGCAAATTCTATGTGACTGTCACAGAATTTATATGTATATGTACCATGTACCGCTATATGTACCATGTTTGGGGCCTGCTATATGTACCATGTTTGGGGCCCGCTATATGAACCATTTTAGGGGCCCGCAATATGTACAATGTTTGGGGCCTGCTATATGTACCATGTTTGGGGCCCGCTATATGAACCATTTTAGGGGTCCCGCAATATGTACCAAGTTTGGGGCCCGCTATATGAACCATTTTAGGAGCCTCTGTTATAAGTACAATAATATATTAAGGGTCCCCTTAATATAATAATGTCACAGATATCATTAATAGGGGCCCACTGTAGGTACCTCCTTAGAGGTCCACTATAGGTACCATATTAAGAGGTCCACTATAGCACAATAATAGGGGGCCGCTATTGGTACGATATTAGAAGCCTGCTATAGGTACCATATTAGGGGGTCCGTAATATCACCATACAACTACAGGTACCACATTTGGGGGCCCGACAAAGGTACCACACTAGGGGGCCCGACAAAGGAACCACACTAGGGGGCCCGACAAAGGAACCACACTAGGGGGCCCGACAAAGGTACCACACTAGGGGGCCCGACAAAGGAACCACACTAGGGGGCCCGACAAAGGTACCACACTAGGGGGCCCGACAAAGGTACCACACTAGGGGGCCCCACACAGGTACCAACGCCCTGGGAGACACATCAACAACCTCCTCCTTACTAGCGGTAAAGGCCAAAGGTCTTAAGGTCATTAATGCTTATAATAAAATAAAAAAATCATTACCTGTTTTTAAATCGCCACAAACTTCCTGCCCACTTTCTCCTGACCTAAAGCCAGGACTCTAATTTATTCCATAAAGCCAGAACTCTTGTCTACCCCCATAAAGCCAGAACTCTTGTCTACCCCCATAAAGCCAGAACTCTTGTCTACCCCCATAAAGCCAGAACTCTTGTCTACCCCCATAAAGCCAGAACTCTTGTCTACCCCCATAAAGCCAGAACTCTTGTCTACCCCCATAAAGCCAGAACTCTTGTCTACCCCCATAAAGCCAGAACTCTTGTCTACCCCCATAAAGCCAGAACTCTTGTCTACCCCTATAAAGCCAGAACTCTTATGTCCTCATAAAGCCAGAACTTTTCTTTCCACATAAAGCCAGAACTCTTGTCTACCCCCAGAAAGCCAGAACTCTTGTCTACCCCCATAAAGCCAGAACTCTTATGTTCTCATAAAGCTAGAACTCTTGTCTACCCCCATAAAGCCAGAACTCTTATGTCCTCATAAAGCCAGAACTTTTGGTTCCACATAAAGCCAGGACTCTTGTCTACACCCGTAAAGCCAGAACTCTCTTGTCCCTATAAAGGCAAAAGCTAGTGAACATATCATGATAGTACTCAAACACTGTACCTCAATAACTTAACAATAAGCTCTGATAAACAGATAATTCTATCGTGGTACAGTGGGCAAGAGCGCGCCTCGAAATACTCAGCGCCTAGGTTCGAACCCTCCTGTTCGAGTTGTGAAATAAGCTCCGAGCCGTGATCTACAGACACATACCGCCATGAGAACAGCCAGAAAGGCTTGGACGCTCACAGGCGCATCATGGAAAACGAAATCAGTGAAAAAATCCCCAAATGACAAAAATCCCCACACTCTAAAAATCCCCACTCTAAAAATTCCCAAACTCTAAAAATCCCCAACTGACAAAATCCCCAAGATCCCCAAAATCTCCAAGATCTCCAAGATCCCCAAACTTAAAAATTCCCAATTTAAATAGTCTCCAACTTAAATATTTCTTCCCCCTCCCTAACAATGGCTATTCAACTAACAAATAATTTTGTTAGCAAAAAAATTCCTCACTAGAAAAAAAATAATTCATTCTTTAAAAATTTCTTGGTCGGTATAATTTACACAATGAACAAAATTATGGTTACTATTTAAAGTGAGCCTTAGAGTGGCTACACTGTACAGCAATGACAATCAGCAGCATATGTTTACTATATAGGCGCTCTAGATGTTCATGTGGCTGGTGAACACTGAATGTTGTCTGTGAGGATGGCTGTTGAACACTGAACGAGAAGATTAAGAACAAAACATCTGTAAGAGGGAAGAGATGCCAGGTACCATAAACCACATCAAATAATGTAGGCTGGACGGCTGGCGATGTTGTGTCTGGCGCTGCAGGTAAACTGGGCCAATACCTCGCAAACTGTACTCTTAAATGAACAAATCCACAAGGGGCCGGGATGAGGGTTCGAGCCTACATCCGGGATGATCCCAGACGCGCCTTAGTCGATTGCGCCACGACATGGTAAAAGAATTGCAATCGGAAGTGCAACTGCCCTCACACGGATCCCGCAGCCTCTCCGAGACACAAACCGAGGTTTTCCACAATTCCCTCATGCATCCGGGCTTTGTCAACAAGCTATTCTAGCTCTTCGCCCTTACTTCCATACTCACAGAAAGCACAATAGCGTGATAATGATCATCCCAGACGTAAGTTCGAACCCTCATCACAGCCCTTGTGGATTTGTTCGTTTGATGCTTCACGCTATTGTGATTTCTGTGTGTACTCTTAAATGCCACGCTCCCTAAGGGAATGCCACTCTCCCTAAGGAAATGCCACGCTCCCTAAGGAAATGCCACGCTCCCTAAGAGAATGCTACTCTCCCTAAGGGGATAATCTACCCTCCAGATAACTATAGCTGAAGGTATTTCCTTATGTGCCGTGTTAACAAAGTTAAGAGTGTTACAACAGAAAATGATTTCTACTACTACTGTTAATAATAATAATAATAATAATAATAATAATAATAATAATAATAATAATAATAATAATAATAATAACGATAATAATAGTAAGGATCAATAATCACCAAGAGAGCCACAACTAGTGAGAAGTGTACCGGTGTAACTGTAGCAACAACAACAACAACAGCCGCCATGAGAACAGTTGTGCACATTACCTGGAACAGTAACAATGTTGTTAACAATAGTGATAACAAGGGATAACAGTGACAATATTAACAAATGATAACAACAGACAATAATAATGTGACCAAAAATAACAACAATCCTGATAACAATTACAGCAATCCTGATCATAATATTAACAACAATCATGATAATAGATAACCATGAATAACAATAGATAACAATACAGTGCCAACAATAACAACAATCCTTATAATAGTGACAACAATAACAACAATCCTGATAACAATAGTGACAATAACAATCCTGATAACAATAGTGACAATAACAATCCTCATAACAATAGTGACAATAACAAGTCAATAGTGACAATAACAATCCTAATAACAATTGTGCCAACAATAAAGATTGATAAAGGTGGTACTCACAGGGAGTCGACCCTCTCCTACATAAATGATGGTATCTACAACATAGTTACTGAGGATGGAAGTACAAATCATGAACTGTTGCATCCAAAAAAAATATGTTCGCGTTTTGCACTCTTCATTCTGTAGAGGGCTTGAGTCAGAAGACAACAACCAAACTTTACTTTTCTTAGGCCTACTGTAGTAGTAGCAGTAGTACTGTAGTAGGCATTCATCAGTCTCAGGAGACTATGGAGTTGGCCTACTGTAGCACACAAACATATATTCTACATTAGGCCTAATATTGCGTATCTTGGACAAAGGAATATTTATTTGGGCCTGGGACAGGTTAGGTTGGGTATATGGTTATTCTGTTTCAGGTTTTGCTATGTCTATTAGTAATCCAATAGTACAAAACTTCAAATATTTGGAGTTATAACAGTTCAAATTTTTCATATTTTATACATTCTAAACTTTTTTTGAGGGATAGGCTGGGCGATCTGTAGCAGTCAAAATGAAGGTGATGCTGTATATAGATTTGTGTCCACGATGGTGCCTACTTGGTAGCACGCTGGACATTCCAGTAATTGATTCACAGGAAGTAATACTCGCTGTGTTTCCTAGTCACCTTGCTAATGCCTAATGTCTGCCTCTGGCCAGCTCAATGTTGGCTAACCACCCCATCTTGGGTCACGGGAGAGGGAAACCAGCTGTTCTCAACGGTCACCGGAAAACAATCAAAGATATGCAGCCTATCCTCTTAAAACCATAATACTTATTAGTAACTATTTGTTCAAACGTACGAAAATGTATTGTTTAATCTCCCAACAAAAGTTCACGTTTTGTATTAATGATTTAGCCCAAATG